CCCCAAAACCCCAAAACCCCTTAAAGTGAAAGATTCTCTAATTTTGATATATTAATTTTCTAAATTGATATATATAATTTTTAATTAATAATTATATGGGTCAAAAATAGTCTTAACAAGAAGAACAGATCTTGAAGATTTAGCCAGTATCAAAGAAAGCATATGTTATCGGAATATCATCCTATGATAAAATCTCAGCAAATTATAAAAATCTCCCATCAGCCAATATAGATGCATTTGAAATTATGAATGTCCTTAAATCCTAAAACTTTAATGTAGCTACAAGTATGCTAGCAACCTTAGATGTGATAAAAAATCCATCTAGTGCAAGAAAATCAGAAATTGACAGGTAAATATAAAAATTTATTTTGGAAGAGTAATAAGCAAAATAAAAAAAGAAATATGGTCATAAATTTTACTTTATCTATTATTCAGGGCGAGGCTTTTACTATAAGGAAACTGGTTTAACATTTGGTATAGACTCTGATGGAAAAATAATAAACTTTTAGAAATACATTGATCAATTTGTAATAGGAGGATTATATGCACTCTTTTTCATTGAATGTGATAGAAAAGAGACATGTGATGAAAATCTTTTGAATTAGATACACTAAGAGTAGTATTAATCTCCTGAAATTTTGGAAAAATTCGAGACTTGTGCAGTCATAGTTAAATATACAACAGCTGCAGGCTATAATAAACCTATAGATGGATCCTTTGTAATGAGCAGCGAATCATATGATCTAATTAGGAAAATAAACTTGAATGGATTAGGTAAAAATTTAAATGAAATCTTCTATAATCTTAAACCTAATTGCTAGTTACATGGAAACCTAATGCATTCTTAAGTCTAAGTATTTGATTAAATAAAACTAATAGAAGCTGGATACTATGATTAATCAGTTTACAAGGGATAATCAAACTTTGCTAATTTGAGAAATGGTTTTGGCTATTATAAATGGGTTGATTAAGGAGAGTATGAAGGATATTGGATTTAGGGGTTTTAGAATGGCTATGGAAAACATCATCACTTTCCTTCAGGCAAAATACACTAGGGATATTATTAAAACGGAGCTATAGGTAAACTAGGCCTCTCTAAGCTGCCTGGAGGTCAAATAATAGATGGTGAATTCTAAGATTCTAAACCTCATGGATATGTTGAATTTTATTACGCCTAAAATGATCGATATTATGGTAGTATGAAAAATGGGTAAATATTGTGTGCCTTAACTATTTTAGTTTGATGAATGGATATGGTGAGTATTATTTTGATACCACAAAAGAGATTTACAAAGGAAATTGGTTAAACAGCAAAATACATGGCCATGGAATTACTTATTATGCAAATGGAAATTTCGTTGAGGCTATTCACGAAAATAATCTGGTAACAAGAGTTATTAGGCAAGTTATTGCAAGATAAAGTCAATTTTAAAATGAAGGTTTATTGTCAAAAGATTATGAAACTTTAATTAAACAAGATGACTTCATTCTGTGGTAATTAAATTTGAAGAAACCTTTAAAAGTGGAGGATAATTAAAATAATAGCTTTTGATTCAAAATAATTTCATTGTATAATTTATATTTTATTCTTTATGTTTTATATGATTTGGGGTTTTGGGGTTTTGGGG